AAAAAGTTATAATTTTATACATACATATTCTTGAACGTATTTAGATAAGGATTTACTTGATAAACTATTAAATCTTTGAATAGAACTAACGTTACTATTAGTATTCTTGCTTTTGGTTTTACCGTTGTTCTTGCTATTATTATCATTAGAGGCGAGGGGAGATGGATTACGAGAAAAAGGAAGTCTTATGATTGATCTTGATTCTTTTTTGATAGCTTTATCAGTCGATTCAAGTGGTTTAGATTTTTTTGTGGAGAAATGCTTAGAAGGAGAAGACATCCATTCGCCTATTTTAGTAACGATCACCTGAAATGATGGTCTATTAGTTGGTTCCAACTCCCAACATTTTTTCATCAGGTCTATGTAATCCTTTGGTATGTTTTTATTGTTTGACAAAGCTTCGAAATGTTTGCCATTTATAATGTCATTAACCAAATTGCCATCATCGTTATAATTTAAAAATGGGGTTTGGCCAGTTGCCAACTCCCACATAATCAATCCAAAACTATAAACATCCGAATTCTTTGTATATTGACCATTGGTGAATACTTCAGGTGCAACGTACTGTATCACGCCAAATATTTCCTTATTAAATTTCAAATCATAAAACAACGACAAATCCACCAAGGCTCTTGTTTCAACCAATTTCTTTTTACATGGCGACGGTTTGGTCGATAGTGCTAATGATGATCTTGATGATGATGCGGAAGAGGATAAATATGGAAACGAATCTCTATTTTTCTTTGGCCATTCTTTTAAAATCATAAGCTTTTGATAATTAAATGATGGACCGAAATCAATTTATATTAGGTAGCTAGCTATTGAGCAATATAGTCTCAAATATAAGAATGTCAAGTTAAACTGTATTATTATTGAAACTTCCGTTTTTATATTTTCAAAAGAACTATAATTGTTGTTTCTGTGGTGGAGGGTAGATTTCAAAACCGTCCATCAATCAAATATCACGCTCCATGTGAGACTACTACTACCAATCAATTGCTCCCTTAAACTGGTGGTGGTAACTAATTAGAATATTTCTATTAAATCAAAGAAATTCAATAGAAGTTAAAGCTATATTTTTGATAATATACAAAAGTCAATGATATCCGTATTTTCTTTTTTTTTTTTTGATTCGTTTTTTAATTAGGTGCTTCTACTGTCCTACA